TGTGAATCAGATATGAGTACTCAGCTACTGCTTCAGTACTATGTCTGCTTGCCCACTATGCGCCCTACCATAATGGAAACTTACTAATCCTCTGAAACTATAAGCAAGCCCCCAAATACATGCTTTTCAGGTTGCCTTGGTCATGACGTCTCTTCACAGCAATAGAACAGTAACTAAAACAATTGCTGTAAGACGTTAATACTAATAATTTGACATCTAATGATTTTTTGGTATTATATGGTTAATACCTAGGATCATGCTATATGCTTTCTCTTATCTTCTATATTAGTCTATTGAAATTGTCTTAGCAAAACCATCAGCTCTTTGGAGGGTTAAACAATATGAATATATTTCTATATTGTTCTGGAGGCTAGAAGTTCAAAATCAAGGTTTTGGCAGGTTTGTTTTATTTTGTGGCCTTTCTTCTTGGCCTTACAAATGGCTAGTTTTGTGCTGTACCCCACATGGCTTTGCCTCTATGCATGGTTTCTCTTCCTCTTCTTACAAGGACATGAATCCTTTGGGCAAAGACTCTACCCTTAGAAAGGCTCTTTCTCTGAGTACAGTCACATTAAGAGGTATTCTTTCCTCACATGAATTTGTGGGTGAAATATAGTTCAATACAAACCATCCAATAATAATCAATCAGCAGCTTCCCCAGAAAGATTATGACTATGACTTCAAAGCATCTAAAAAAGCAAAAGAAAATATACACTATGGAAAAAAAAAACCACACTAATTCTAAAAACTTGAAAATGTCACCAATTTCTCGCTACTAGAAATGTACAATTATAGGACCCCCAAAGTGGTTCAAGGAATGAATGCAGAATTGGGAAAATATGGGGGAGAATGAGACAATGAATTAAAGTGTAGCTTCTCAAACAATAATGAAATAAATAAACTGCACAAATGGCATCTCACCATACTGGCTGCCCACAGAGCAACCCGGCAGGTTTATTGAAAACATCTACCTTTCATCAGTGATCTACCTAAATAGATGGCAGCCAGTCATAGCCACCAAATGAAGTCCAAGCCAGAGTACACATTCTTCAAGCTCCTCAACTCCCAGATGGCAAATAGGCTCTGTTCCTGTGAGACTAGCCTTGATGAAATTATTCCATACTGACTTCCTGTAAAGTCAGGAAGTGAGAAGATCAGCATTGAGGAAGAAAACATCAGAATCAAGAGAATAATAACAAAGGATGGAAATAAAGTGACTCCTACAGAGAGGATATATTATAGACCTTAGAGACTTGCCTCAAGGTCCTGGGGATATCTCCAGGTGTATTCATATAATCCAATGGTTCTCAACCTTTCTAGTGCTGTGACCCTTTAATATAGTTCCTCAGGTGGTGGTGACCCCAAACTGTAATATTATTTTGTTGTTACTTCACAACTATAATTTTGTTACTGTTATGAATCATAATGTTAATATGTGATGTGCAGGATATTTGATATCTGGTCCCTGTGAAAGGGTCGTTCAATCCTCCCAAAGGGGGTCACGACTCACAGGTTGAGAACCACTGATACAATCAGTCACTCTTAAAGGCAAGCTGGCCTACAGAATGATTGCACAGACACAGGAGTTTCTAGATCCCGAATCTCAAGCATTTTTCTCATCAAGCTAGTAGTTTAATTAAAAGGTTGCTTGTCTACTTGTGACAGTGTCCTTGGTTTATCCACAGAAAGAGAGTATGACAACAGGCCAGGTGTACGGAATCATAGATGTTTGAGACCAACATTGAGTAAAGATGTGTAGCGTGCCCCAAATATCATTCATGTAATTGTGTGACGGATATGTCTGAGGCAGAATAGATAGATATCAAACAGCAGCGAGAGGACAGCTGGGCTGCACTGAGAGAGTCATTGTTACCTTCTGCTTTCCTTGCCAGGCTCAGCAGAGCTTGGCTCAGCAGAGTTTAGCATATGACTGATTCTTAGCTTAGTTGGAATGAATGAGGAACTGTAGCTCTTCTCCTGGAAAAAATTTTAGAGGAAGTATTTGGTGCTGTTTTTGTGATATTCTCCACCACAATTTGTCTACACTTTATTCCTTCATTACCCTGGTTGCAGCAGACTGCTTTACCATCTCTCTCCCTCTGTCCCTACCAATAGGCTTCTGACTTAGATTTTTTTTCATATAGATGTAACTGTTTATTTGAGATTCAATTAGCTTAAAATCTGAAATAATTTATTCATAAGGCACATCTAAATCCAAACAAATCAGTAGTTACCACAAGTCTTGGAGTCATTTTATAAGAGAGATGAGAGGACAGTTTTTAAATTTTTAAATGAATGTAAATGTGGGCATTGAGGAAGGGTCAGCTTGCTGGGCTAGTCCATAGGTCTTGGAGGCTTAATGTCTGATCTTGGAGAATGATGTAATTCATGATCTATCTTCATCTTTGCAGAACTTGGAACTTGTTTTGTTTATACCGAAGAATGAGTAGGATTTGCAGGAACGGTCTCCAGCCCACCTCAAAGACATGGTGTAAATCAGACTGTCCATTAATCAGTTTATCCCCAATACTGTACCAACTGGGCCAATTAGACTGCTTCCCACCAACACATTTCTGCCAAACAAGAAAACTTATTTGTGATCATAAAATCAGAATCTGAGAATTTTGACCTAAAGCCTGAGATTCGGATGCCGGGAGGACGGCACCTTGAGAAGTGCCTGCTCCTATGCAGTTTCTGGGATACTGTGCCCCCCACATGCTTTGTGCATTTATTGCAAACAGAGCTCTTTCCTGATACATTTTCCCCAAAGACCATGCAAAAACTTAAGTCCATTAAGAATCAAGAAATTGCTTGGAAACTTTGCTTGGTACAAAGGTTCTGACGTACCACACACTTCAGAATTAATTCTCAGAGAAACCCTACTTTCTCCCCAACTTCAAGGTTTTTTTTTTGAGCACCCCATTTTTTCACACTACCACCTCCCCATCTATGTGATCATTTCTTTGGGGGTGGGAACTAAGAAAGCTCATTGAGGCATTGTAGAGACCTGGCTTCCAATCTAAGCTGAGTGAACATGGGCAAATCACCTAACGTTGCTGAGCATGCTTCCTCATCTGGAAAACGGCTCTGACATAGCTTTGAAAGCTTTGTTAGGATTAATTACAATAATGTTTGTGAACCACTTGGCATTCGGGCAAGCCCTCACTCACAGTAAGCAACAATAAATGCAACGATTAGTCACCATCTCTCACTCCTTTATCCGGCTTTCCTTCACTGAGCACCTACTGAATGGGCCTGGCCTCATGTTAGGCCAGAAATCCACAGAGTAATTACTACTACTGAATATTAAATTTGGCTCCTAGCTTCCTGGCTGCCAAGGCCCAAGGCCCAAAGGGCCAAACTAATTATTGCCAAGGGTTTTTTTTCCTCCCAGAATTCAAGTTTATTTGATCCTAAGATACATGCATAGGCAGTTCAGGATAAGAAGGCTTAAGCTCTGAGGAATGACTATCTAATTTTGGCCCTTCAGATGCTGAGACATCAGACAAGGATGACAGTCAAGTACTTATCTCAATGGGCCACCCTTGGTAGTAGCATGAATAGCCAATGTGAACAATACCTCAGCCTTCTCTACATACCTGATGGAGCAGGTAACTATTGAGCATGACCTTCTTTGACAACAGGACTAGTTCTCTTGTCTGATGAGATGATGATGATTTCGGATAATATGGAAGTAAAGTTAGAACGATCAGTGGTTTCTTTACAGTTTTATATAGGACGTTTCAGAACTGAATTAACATAGCTGAGATACATGCATGCCTCCATCCAGCTTCTCTCATTGTGAGCAGTTCACGTTAATAAGGAAGATGCAGGGCATCATCTCACCATATGCTGGCAGTCACTTTACTGGACTTGAGATAGAATCAAAGTAATTGCTCCATAAAGCAAAGCAGTTAGTAATAACCCAAACTCCAAAAGCCCTTTTATTTTCTGATTCATATCTTTAATCAATTTGCAACATGAAGCAATTGAGTTTTCCCTCTAGTTTCCCAATTGTTTGCTCAGAAGGGCTGCTCCACTGCCTTTGACTGACGTGACATTATTGCATTTATATTGACTTTTAGAGCAGATTTTTACAACATTTGAGGTGCATACGTTACAAGGAGATGTAGCACGGGGACATTTGAAGATGAAAGTAAGCCATAAAGAGAGAACCTAGCCACAGTGTCTGCCATTTGCAGTATGAGGTAGTTACAAATGGAGACTAGCAAATGGGGCGTGGTTCCTGGGTGTCACTTTCCAAATATCCAAGAGTTGTCTCCAGTGTCTGTTGGGACCTGGGAGCAGGAAAGAACAGTGATGGGCTGGTTGCTTTTGGCTTTGCCCTAGCTAGGCTGTTCTGAAACATTGCCTTAGGCATGTAAAACCAGCAAAAGCATTAAGTCCCTAGTTTCCAAGGTGGCGGCAAGAGGGTGCTGGAGCAGGCAGGTTTCCTGGCTTGAGTAATGGGGTGATACTGTTTTTGGAAACCCATGCATCAGTCAGCAGAGCTAGGGCTGAAAGAAGTGGCTAGGGGCTGCTCCGAGATGAAAACCACTGCTGGTACTGCTCTTTCTGTCTTTGCCATGCACGCCCTGCCACGAGAGCCATGACTGCAAGTGAGCTGGAAACAACTGGAAGGTGGCTTTCCACCTGGAAAGAGCCTTCCATTTCTGCTTCCATGTTCTGCTTTAATTCATCTTTCACCCTTCAAAGTTGAGCTTCCTGTCCTCACTCTGAGTAGTTTCCTAAGACAGCATGCAATGGATGCCATACCTTCGTCAAAAGTGTACCTCGTGGCTTCTGTTTTCACCCAGTTCAGTAGCTGGGCCTTCACTCAACATCTGAGCTTTGATGAGATGTTGTGCTTTTTACCTTCCAGGGATCTCATCTGGATTTCAGGCATCCCAAGGGTACTTCTGTCCTCTGCACCCCTGCTCTTTACTGCCGGTACGCCACACCTCCCCTTACCTGTAGCCTACTGTTTGTTTTCTTCCTCTAGGTTGTGAGAAGGTAAATGAGCGAGTCCGGAGCTCACCTCCCTGGGTTTGGATCCCACTGTTACCACTTCCTTTGAGACCAAAGGACAACAACTTCACTTTTGGTGCCACAGCTTCCTCAAGTGTGTAGTAGGTAAGAATGAGACCTGTCACTGGATTGTGATAACTCACTTGAGGATCTCAGAGCAACTCAGCAGAAGAAGGCCTACTGAAGTACATGCTGCTATTTGATATGAGTTAGCCCTGCTCGCCTTCTTCTAAGAATGCCCTTCCCACATTTTTAATGATCAAAATACCATCGTTTCCTATTTATCAAAAGTGTTTCCTCCCCATTAAAGACAGTCTACTTGCAAGCTAGAATGAGGCCTCTTCTTGGTCCATTCCTCCTTTCACAAGTGTTTTCTTGCCTCAGAACTTGTACTTTTCTGGCCAGACTGGTATGTCTTTCCTCAATTGCAGAAACCTAGCCAGCATGAGATGTGCATCAACCAGGCCTGCACCCTTGTCTACAGGTATGTACCCACAGAGGTTCTGTCTACATACAAACAGTATGGCACAAAGTTATGGCACATAAGTCTTTCTTATGTTCTATATGACTAAATCATGATGTATACTAGGAAAAACTCAATGTTTCAGTGAAAATCAACCAGGAAGCTACCCAAACTTTGCTCCCTTATCGCTTCTTACATATCTGCTAGGTAGTGGTAGTAAAGTTAGAACTCACAAAGGGCTGATCTGACATTTTCCCACCTGAGGAGTCTAGAAGCAGCTTAAAGTTTCTACCTGACTGTGCGGGGCGGGGGGGGGGGCACAGAGACTCCCTAGTGAGGCCTTATTCCATCTTGACTCAGGCTCAGAGTCTGTGTTTTCATTGCCCTGCAAGGCTACATAATAGGATGTTTTGGCTAAACACATGGTTACCACGTGTCTTACACTTCAAAGGCCTAATTACAAGATGCTTTGCCATAAGGCATGATTATCAGGAGTTTTGAAAATTAAGGAAGGGTCTACACTTGTTTGTACCTTGTACCTTGACCTTGAAATGGGGGGGCCTTTTGCCTCTCCCCTTGCTAGTGTATAAAAATCCCACTAGGAATAAACTTGAGGTGACTGTGGTATTGACCTAGTACTCTCCCGATGCTATCTCGTGTCTATGTCTTTTTCTTTGATTATGTCTATATTTTTTCATATCTATTGTTTCTCAATCATCACTCCTCCCTTCAAGGACTGTTTGATAATTGGGCTGGGCTCTGATACCTGACATGCATCCAGCTTCCTCAGAACCCAGACAGACAACTCACTAGCCATTGGGATCCTATAGAAATGGATGGCATCTTTGTCAATATTTCGGATGGGTATACTTTCATCATATCTCTGATGGGTACTCTTTCACCGTGTAGCCTCTTTATTTTACATAAACTTTTTTCAATAAAATACCCCTTGTGAACTTTATTTCCTTCTATATTTTATTTTATTTGTTCTTTCTGACAACATAGTTTATGTCTCGTCTTTTCTAATAGACTATAAAGTCCTTGAGATAGAAAAAAATTGATTCTGGTATTTACTTTCAATTACTTTTAAAATATGAAAATATAAAAAAAGTTAATCAAAATCTTAAAATACAGTGTGAAATTAAAGAATATGCTTCTTTCTTTTCCTCTCCATATTGCCCATTTCAATTGTATTCTGCCTAAAACTCCATTTCCTTAGTTATTTCTTCACTATGTGCTTTTCTTACTCAATGTTCTATTCTGGCAAAGAGACACCATGATAAAGGCAACTTTTAGAAAAGAAAACATTTAATTGAAGGCTTGCTTACAGTTTCATAGGGTTAGTCCATTATCATCATGGCAGGGAGCATGGAATTATGCATGGTAGGCATGGTATGGTAAGCTACTTCCTGGTCAGAGGCAGGTAGATATGCAGGCAGAGCAAGAGACTTGGCCTGGCATGGGCTTTTGAAACCTCAAAGTCCACTCCCAATGACATACCTCCTCAAACAAGACTATACTTCCTAGCCCTTTTAAACAGATTATCAACTGGTGACTAAGCATGCAAATATATGAGCCTATAGGGGCCACTCTCACTTAAACAGTCACACTGCCTATCTATCTATCTATCTATCTATCTATCTATCTATCTATCTATCTATCTATCTATCTATCTATCTATCATCTATCTATCTATC